CTGTTTCCCTTCCTCAAGAATGGCTCCTTGATAGCTACCCTTCCACAGAGAACAATTCTGATGAAGCTTCAGTAGATGGATCAACTGAAGGGTCAGATGAAATAGAGGACTGTGACAGTCCTGTACTCTACTTACCCAGTTTGCTCAGGCTTTTTAACGAAACTCTATACACCGTTCCGAGATATGGCATGTTTTTGGCTAATTGTTCTTTTGGAATCACCTTGTTCGTGCAAATATATGTGTTGTCTTTTCCACTTTTGTAAATAATGTGTTGGTTCATTGCACAGGTTTATCTCTTAAAGTTAGGTGTAATTTTCTACACATGAATGAATAATAGTTCAGTGTTTAAGTGGCTTGACAACCAAAAAGAAACCCAAACATTTCCCTGAAAATGGTCAGGCACAAGGACTGGAGTGAAACTGAGCGTAAAAGCAGCCAATGTCCAAAGAAAACCACTGAAAGACCTTCAAAAAAATGTGAAGAACTATTGCTTGAGATCACTTTGAAAAATTAAAAGAAATTGTGGCTCCATAGAAGCAAAAGAAAAAGTCTTTGCACCGTAGTGTGTAACAGTTGTTATCATTTAGTTTTAATTATTTCTTCAAGGGCTGAAATTCACAAGAGCCCACTACTATAAGAGCACCTTTGTCCTCAACAAAACATGGTATTTTCTGATTGCCTAAGTTAAAAATTGAGATGGCCTTGAGAATCCTCTGTAGTGCTGCTCTCAACGGAAGGAGACTTAAGAAGTATAAGAGTTTTCTAAACAGCCTTTGAGGGATCCATTTAAATTCATCATGCATTTATCCTACCCAGAGCTTTGTCATTCAGCAGTGATGAATATTAACAGATTTCTTTTTAAAAAAATTTAATTCCAAAGGATTTAAAGAGAACCTCGCATTTCAGAGATCATAAAATATGAAGTGGAATTCCACTTTTTATAAACGGATCTCAAAACAACAAGAGGCCTTTAAGCTGAATTTGCGGTATTTTACGTTATGACATATAGGGTGGTCTAGGCAATGTTTATTAAAATGCTGCCAGAAAATTTCTTGTTGTTTTCAATAGGGGTACATAAATAAAAGGGCATTATTCTATAAAAGCAGGAGGTTCTGGGAAGTGTCAGCCTTAGGTTGGTGCCAGGAAATAAGGGTTCTGGCGGAAATTCCTCTCTATCTCCGCTCAACTGTGTCTGACTGTACTTCAATATGTTCTGGCAGACTAGAATGCACACATACACCCTCACGTTCAGAAATTATTTCTGTGTGGATGCATTTCATTATCTGCGTGGGCGAGCCTCCCTGCCTCTGTCTGTCTGCTGGCCTGCCTGTCTACCCATCTGTTTGCGTGTATGTCTGCCTGATACTCAATTTTTGTTTTTTCTCTTTTTTTTGCCCTGTCTGCCTCCCTGTCTACCTGCACTCCATCTGTCTTAGTATGTGTCTGTCTAGAGGCTGCGCTGTCCTTAACTGTCTGTTTCTGCCCATCAGCACTGAGTGATATCTCTGTTTGCAGCATGTCTGTATTCTATTAGCTAATCAGCGCTATAAAGGCGGACTCTTCCAGAGCTGCAGCTGTGTGGAGCTGCTGAAGAATAAAAAGCCAACAGCACAGCAGTGCACCCAGACGAACAGGACGACCTTGACAGCACTCAAATGCTTGCACACATACAGTATATACGCACAAATAGCATGAGCAACATCAGCACAACTCAGTTCGCTTTATTATTAATGCCGCCAAATCTTTCTTGGTGCATGCCTCGCTTTGATTATGTGTGCCCACATGCGCCCGGTTGCAAGTGTGTACTTGTGTGTATGTGAAGCTAGGATTTATGCACATTTCTTCTTGACATAAAGCTCATCTCAGTTTATCTCTAAAGCCAGTGCAGACTGATTCTGTGGTAAAAGTGAATCTATTAATAAAAGAGATTGGATCTCTATTGGAGAGATAAAATGTTTGCTCATTCTGCCTCCATTTGTCAGCATTTTTCTTCAGTTGACATTAAATCTTAGAGCTGAAGCCAATCAGGCTTAAATAATTGTTTGTATTTATAAAGTTTAAAAGCACAGTTGTGCTCTGCAGCATTTACCAGTAATAAAGTAAAGTATTTTTGCTTGCCACACAATTTAATTATATATATATTTTTTTTATCCCTTTTTGTTGTGACACAATAGATGGCCGACATCTAATCAAAGCAGATGTTGCTGAATATAGCAGACTGCATCAACATATTGGACGGGGCTAACAAAGCTCCAAGTCCATCTGTGCAGAGTTACACAAAGAATTATGTTTAACATCACTGTTTGTCTGGGTTAAGCATTTATTTTATTTTACTGTTTTTGCACAAAACCCAAGAATCTGGGAGTGTTTCCAGGATTATTTTTAAAGTTGGGGTGGCAAATCTTAATACTTGATTATAAATACAGTTAAGAAATTGCTGTAGAAAATATTCTGCATGGTTTTTGGTCTCATGCGCAGACCTTGTACAGATATAGTTTGGGAAAAGCAGCACTGCACGTTGTTTTGTATTTAATTACTCTCTTACAAAGTGCTGAAACACATACTCATTACTTAAAAGAGAAGGATAGAAATAGAAATGGCATTACATAGAAGTACCTTAATCAAGTACATTAAAACTGTACCTCAGAATAGTGCTTCAGTAAATGCACACCACTAACACTGTCCACGCGCTCATAAAATGGCGTTGGGCTTTGTAAGGTTTGTGGGCGTGCGTCTGTATGTGTATTATGTTCCCATTAGTGCATAATTGGTGTTCCAGTTTTATCAGCTTGTTGATGCGGTGATAAAAAGGTGAGGCATTAAATGGTCTATTAGCCACATTAGGCTGTGCATTTTATTCTCTCCCTTTGTAACCCTTTGGGCTTCAATTTACAAATACACAATAACTGAGACAAAAATTACTCTGTCCAATTTAGGAACCATTCCACTGAAAGATACATGCTGGGTCCATGTGTTTTTGGACTGTGACGTTACTTATTATTGTAGCTGTTCACGAAAATGTGGTCAAGTTACAGTTACATGATGAATATGAGTTTGAATCTCAACCTTTCACCTTTTATTTAAAGGTTTGAATAAAAATATTAGCTGAAATGTTTTTCTGAACAGTTCGGTGTTTTTAGGGGTTCAATATGTAATTGGACAAATCAACATATTAATAAATACTTTGTAAAAATCCTTTTCTTTAAAATGATCCCCTGAAGTGTGGCACTCGTGGCCCTCCCCAAATAATGGTTTTCCTGCTGTGTGTGTGTGTGTTTTTGGCCATTACTGCTGCTCCATTCAGTTGTTGTTGATCGACTCAGACCAGGTGATTAACTCTGCAGAATATTCCGCTAATTTACTTTTCAAAACCTGATGGATTGTTTTTACAGTATGTTTTGGATCCATCTGTGCATTGCCATGAAAACAACTATTTGCCTCCTTCCTGATTTCTTCGTTTTCTTTCGCTTTGTTTATTTTTTTCATATTTGTCACATTCACCTGTTACAGATCATCACAACAAGCTTTAATATTAGAGAAAGACGACTCAAACAAATATAAAATGCAGTTTTTAAATAAATAAAGTCCTACGCTGTGTTACCGTGATGTGGTGTAGCTAAGCTGTTCAGACCCATCTCTGTGCCTTTTTCTTTCATCAGTGAGCTCTGGGTTCCTTCTTTCTGTTTTTGAGGTTGGTGACTGGTTTGCATCTTGGAATGAATATGCTTCTCTTTATGGTAGACCTGGATAATGATATGTCCCCTCCTGGAGACTGTCCTTCCACTCGGCTGAATGTTCTAAAGGGTTTTTTTCATAGGAAAGGACCCTGTGGTCATCTGGCACTGTTATCTTCAGTGGATGTCTAAACCTTTTTATGTTGCGGTGCTCACCGGTGTGTCCCAAATGCACTCAATTCTTGATCTGACCACTCCTAAAGTCCCTGCTACCTCTCTGTTGGATTTGTTTAGTGTATGTAGCCTGAGGACGGCCTGTTCCTCCTGCAGTGAGTGCTCCTTTGACAGCATATTTTGGATTAACCCAAACAGCTTCCACTCTTCAGCTTATATCCGGACCTCTGACCTACCTAATTTATGAAAAAATGTAGCCCACACTTGGCCATAAATCAGCTTTATAATTATGTATCCAATTACATCTGAGCCTCTGTTGATAAAGACACCTGCTGTGGTTCATGCACTTTTTGTTTGTGTTTGTTGTTTTTTTTGTTCAACCCCTCCAATTAAAGCTGTGCTACACTTTAAGCCAATAGTCATAATTTAACTGAAACTAGAATAAGCTCTGGTACACACACAAAAAAAACCCCAAAAGCACATGGATCTAACTGTATGTTTTATTTTATGAGAAGCTCAACACAAGCATGGAACGTAAACACGTTTTTAGAATTCAAATCTGTGTCATATTTCCATGTGACATAAAACTGTGTGACACCTTTGTGTAACAGATTTTATGCCTGCATTATGTGTTGGCTTTGAGTCTTTATTTGTAATTTGCAAAGTATTTGGCTCATTAATCTTTGCATCTACACGTCTCTCTGTTTCTGTTTGTCTGTCTTTCTTTTCATACAGAGCTGGGTGGAACGTGCAAATAGACAGGCACTCCTGTCAGACATCCTAGATCTATCTGAGCTATTTCACCCTGATACCTTTCTTAATGCTTTGAGACAGGAAACTGCCAGGTAACACACACACACACTGGACACCTTCATAGGGGATTGAATAAGTGTATATATCAATGTTAAAAATACGTATATTCATTTTGCTTTTTTTAAGGACCATGTCCTGTTCTATGGATAGTTTGGTGTTTGTTTCGTCATGGAGGAGTCCAATTGCACAAGCAAAACTACAAGTAAAGGTAAAGCCAGTCATCTACTGCTCATGCATGCAAACATCAGATCCTCACCTCCATCTACAGAAGAATACAAGTGTTATAACCAAAGTACACTGGCTGAGTGATAATTATTGGAGGAGAAAACAGCAAGAATAGATACAGATGCAGATAAGGAGGCAGGAGTTACACGACTGAAGAAAAAGGAGAAACTGGGGGTAAAAGAAAAGCAAAGAATTAGCCATTGTGCCAGAACTCAACTCTTTAAGAAGGGTATGTTACCCAGAATTATGCCTGATCTTGGTACATGGGGATCACTCAGCTAACCCAAACTGCACTTTTGGAAATGTGCTCGGGCACAGCAAAGATCCCCCTGGTGTGAGTAAAGCCTTTATTAAGGACAAGGCTGCTGCTGACAGCAGCCAGCTCAGGTCTCTGGTGCGTTTTGGATATATTGTGTAATTCTAGTCCTTTCTGACCAAACAGAACTGTGCAGCACTCCTCTCAGCCATCAGTTATTCATTTTATGTTCTGATTTAAGGGTGATATGACTGTCTTTAATATAATACTTTGAGGCAATACTTCTATTACTCTCATGCCAATAAAAATTGGCACAGTTTGACATGCGCTTAGTTAAAATACACAAAGAGAGAAGGAAAGGGTGTTGGTGCTGACAAAGAGGCTGCAGCTGCAGGGAGGGAAGGGGAAAACACTCAGACGTCTGACAGAGAAAGTGAAAGGATATAATTGTTGTGAAGCAATGAGCTCTCTCTCTC